CAAGCACTGTGGCATTTGGACAAGAACAAACTGGGAGGAGGGTGGGGAGAGGGGTGCAACAATGAATGAATGGAATTCCAAAATCTCTGTAGATGTTCATTGAAATGAAAAATAAAGAAATTTTTTACAAAAAGAAGAAGTACTGCAATCACAAAGGCATACGGTTCGAATCCACCAGATGCTTCTCAGGAGAAGGACAGACAATCTCCTTCCGTATTGATTAAGTGCCTCTGAAAACCTTGGTTTCAACTTGAAGGTATACAACAATAATAAAAAGTACTTTAAAATCAAATATATTATTCACTAAACTAAAAAGAAAATTTCTAAATTATAGTCTGTTTTCTACAGAAAACTTAGGTTTTGCAGACCAATTTAGCCTACCAGTAATAATGTAAATAAGAAGTTTCTATATTTTGCACAGTAATTTATATCTATGTTGTTAGCTGCTATCAATTCATGATAACCTCAAGTGTTAAAAGATTGTAAATAATAGAACATTAATTTGATGCAAAATTTTTCCTAATAATGCATTCTGTCTGCAAAAAATAATTTCATTTTTCACTCTGAAATGTTACCTCGTTTAAAATTTCCATGATTTCCTTGTCATAGCAATCCAGGAGTATTTCGTGAGATTCTAAATGTCTTGCGTGCATCATAGCAGGTACACAGTCACGCAAAGCACTGAACATATACTAGGAAACAAGTCAAATGTGCATGAATTAAGAATCCTGAACCAAAACAATATCAAAAGCTATCTTGTAATCATCTATCCCAAAAGACAAAAATCCCAATCTAAAGGACAACTGTTCTCTATAGGATTATCTTTCTTTCCTAAATTAATGAGAAATTAGCTTCATTAAAGAAGAAAGTTTAACCAAATATATTTTAAAATTCACATTATATTCTCTTTTCTCATAGTAATCATTCAAACACACTTACTCTCACAGAGAAATAGGAAAATTTGAATAACATGCACTTTGTTGATAAACATGTGCCAAGCTACTGTGGCATAAACTAAAATCAAGTGAAAGGCCAACGATCAGAACATAAAAGGAGGGTTAAATAGAAGATACTAAAATTAACTTCATTAGAATTAACTACAAAATATAGCAGCACAGAATTGTATAAAATCATACTGTCTAGTTTTGAATGGTTTATTAAGTCAAATAATCTGTTCTACTTTAGCGACTAGGAATGGTTTCTATTAAACAAATGATGGCTTTACTCTTACATTAGTCTACTTACATGTAATCTGGCTGCATCCACAGCATTTTCATACACATCATCTAAATAAATAGGGAAGACAGCTCGGTGCCAGTATAAAAAACAACAGTCACATTGTGTTTGGACTCTACAATGGAAAGTAGTAATCAATGAAACCAAAACTGAACTATCCCAAAGAATACCAAAGGAATGATATCATATCTCTAAGAGAAAAGCCTCCACCTTACTCATTTTCAAATTCTTTACATTACTGAACCTAAAACAGTACAGAAAAGCCCAAAATGAGTGAGGGTTTTTTTTTTCAAATTAAACAAAACTATCCAATATCCAGCACTGCTGGTAAAGAGCAGTTTAAAATTATTCCTAATGTTATTTGATATGACCATATATAGTTACAACACTTGTGTCACACACACCATTTTATGCCACTCAAAGTTGTAAATTCAAATGACTGAGGTATTTTTTTAAATTGTGACCAAAAATGAAAAACAAGCAAATAAAAAAATAAAACTCGTCCCACTTAACACTTCTATAATCTCTTTACCAAGCAATTACTTCATACCGATGGGGTAGGAAAAACAAACAAACAAACAAACAAAAAAATCCAGCCCAAAACATCTCAAAATAAACAAATGCAGACAATTCTAAAATGGAAAGCTAAAAATCACAACAAAAAAATTTCAACTTCTCCAAACAATAACAAAATATTACAAACGTAAGCATTAAACAAAGAGTGTTGTAAATGATAATCTAATTCAGTTAGAAATAAAAATTATTTCTGCTTTCACATCAAGAAAATTACTACTTATTAAAAAACAGCAATCATAAACCCACAAGGAGCTATAGAAAGGAAGCTTCCTATACTTAGTGACGAATACTCACAAAAACAATTCAAATTTGTCACTAAATAAATTATCAAAAAGAGGAAGATATTCAAACGGCAAACAGACACATGAAGAAATGCTCCAAATCACTGGCAATAAGAGATGGAAATCACAACCACAATGAGATACCATCTTACCCCAGTAACAGTGGCCAAGTTTAACAGGACAGCAATTAATAAATGTTGGAGAGGATGTGGTGAGAAAGGAACTCTTATACATTTGTTGGTGGGATTGTAAAATGGTACAACCACTCTGGAAGGCAGCTTGGCGCTTCCTCAGAAAGCTGAACATAAAAATTCCATATGACCCAGCTAATCCACAGCTTGGAATATACCGTGAGAATATAAGAATATGAGGCACAAACTGAGATTTGCAAACCAATGTTCACAGCAATATTATTCACCATCGCAAGAACATGGAAACAGCCCATATGTCCAACCATAAACAAATGGATTGAGAAATTATGGTACATTCACACAATGGAATATACTATGCAGCATGCAGGAGCAATGATTTTGTAAATTATTACCTAACTTGAATGGGACTAGAAAGCATCATGCTGAATGAACTCAGTCCCAAAAGGATAAATATTGTATAAAACCATTATTGTAGGATGAGTATAAGGATCCAAGAGGGGTGGGAGAGGGTGGAAGCAGAGGGATGTGGATGTGCAGGGCAAGGGGAGATTCATTATCAGGTTGTAGAATGTGATGAGTGGGAGGGTGAGGAAAACTGAAAGAATCTGTTCTAATTTGTATTCAAATTTTATAAATAAACTAGTAGAGAAAAAAATTATAACTTTCTAAAGTCTCTCACAAACAGATGAAGCTTTGTTCTAAAGAATCAAATTTTAGAAATCCAATAGAGAACCCCACCATAACAACCACCAAACACATCAAGCTTTTTGAAGTTGCATTTTTCTTCTCACTGGACTTCTTCCAGAAACTATAGCTAACAAGCTAGAACTCTGCACACAGTCTTAATGGCCACACTCAAGGAGTTACACAGACAAACTAATGAACTATCTGAATTTTACTTCTCTTGCTGCACTGAAAAGGAAAATTCATGCTTCTGTTAGCTCTACCCTCTGCCTATTCATTCTTCCAGAGCCCGCTCTGTCTTACCGTTCTCTGAGTTCACTGATGAGATCCAGTTTTTTCATGACGACTTGAAGTGGAAAGAGTTCCTCATCCTTAAATGTCTTCTAACGGGGAGGGAAAAAGAGGCACAGAAGTTGCACTCACAGTAAGGACAAGTTTCTTTACGAAATAACAAGGAGCCTGTCAAATCTCAGACCTCGTTTCTATTTTGTAAGTAATAGTAATACACCTACCATCTGTGTGCCAACACTCAGCGCCAGAGAGACAATAAGTCGTCGTTGCCTTGTGCTTGGGCCATTTAGAGTATTTTCAGCCAGAACTAAAGCAGAGAGGACATCAAGACGCTGTTCACTGTATTTTTTGTCAGAAATTACTCTTTTCTTAATGATAAAAGAATATGGGAAATTATCAGTTTTGTTTCTGAGACAAAAACAAAAACTGAAAAATAAAAGCTTCTGGATTATTTTTCCACTATTCAACTCAGGAGAGTATAGACAAACTATCCTTGATGAACAACTAACAGCTTTGTACACTTTAATTCCATAGCATGATTTCTTAACATTGTAAAAAACAATCCATTAGACATACTTCAAAATTTCCATATTTACTTAATAGTAACTCATCCCCTAAAACAAGGTATATCAAATGCCACAACTGAATACAACATTTTTAATATGAGTATGCTAATTAATAGATTGTAGCTTCAGAAAAAAGTAAACTTGGTAAGTATATACAAGAATCAATATGGTATCATAAAGAACTGTAAGAAAATTGATCCTATACTTGAAAATACCATTAAAAAAACCACAACAAATACAAACCTAGATAAAACTGAAGAGCAAACTAAAAGACAACATAATTACATGGAAAATCTGTAACTTACCTTAGCCACAGAAATAGAATTAAGGGCCTGATGTTGAAGGTGCTGGGTTATATGTGAAACGGAATCAGCCACAACCATGCTTCTTCTGTAGAACATATGCTCAATTGCCTAAAAAGAATTGGAAGAAATTCTGTGCATATATAAAGAGCTTCACACAAGTGTTAATTACTTAAAATATTTTTATTTACTTGTACACCTCCCAGAGTCACATAAACAAGAATTATGTCACAGTAATATTGGAAGCAGGAGAGGCATCCACTTCCTAAACAACAGGCCTCTGGAAACTCTATGAGCTTTGATAAATGACAATAGTTATTGAAAGGCTTCAGGCCTTTTGCTCACAGGGTTCCTATGAATTGTGCTCAACTCGACTGCAATCAACAACAGCAACATTAGGTTATTAAGGAAACACTGAAAGCAAGTCAAAGAAATCATAGCACTTCCCCTACACAGAAAACTATGCAAGCATAATGAGACATGAATGTATTTCAGAATCATTACTGCGGGGATGAAAAGTCAGATAGAAAAGAATATGGACTATATAATTAGATTTTAAAAATGTTCAAATATGGACTACATAATTAGATTTTAAAAGTGTTCTCTTTTCCTGCTGACAGCTTGCTGCAACGTTTAGCTCCAACCATGTCTTTCAAGGGGTCCTCTTCCCCCTCCTTCTTTCTTTGGCACAGCCTATATCTACCTTTCACTCACCACGTCTATTTTATTACCTTAATAAACTTTCTTCACTTGTTTTCTTAAAAAAAAGTGCTCTAAAAAAACCCAAACTGATCTATGAAGACAAAAATCAGAACACTGGTTGTCTAGAGCTAAGGGTAGAAGGATAGATGGACTGAAAAGAACACACAAAATTGTTTTAGGGTTACAGGAATAGTCTGTATCTTGATTATGGTGACGGTGGTGTTTCCACAAGAGTCCAAATCTGTCAAATACATCAAAGTGTGTTTAGCAGATTTTAAATAAGACAGTTTATTGAATAAAAATTATAATTTATTAAAGGTGATCTTTTAAAAATGAACAAAGCATATGGAGACCATAAACTCATAGACTCCTGAGCCGGAACGACCGGGTTCAAATCTGATTCCATCATTACTGTGAAACCTGGGCAACATATCCAGAAAATCCAAGATAATACAAAAGTTTTAGAATTAAGAAATGTTTGGTAGCAAGACCAAAGTACAACAAATTACAAGTATTTCTCTATACCAGGGTTTAACATTGGAAAATAATTAAAATATACATTCACTGGCCACAATTACCTTGCATCAGCTATACTAATTAGCTTGTTGTTGTTGTTATGTGCCATCGACTCACCTGCGACTCATAACAACCCTATGTACAACAGTTCTAAACCTAGCTCTAGCCTGTGCCAAACTCATTGTCTCCAACACACCTACCCTACCCCCATTACCCCAGTCACTGAATCAATCCATCTCCTCTCCTGCGCTATCCCTTCATCTTCCCAAGCATGATGTCCCTCTTGAAGGACTGATCACACCTGGCAACATAACTTCAGAAGCCTTGCCTTCAAGGAGCAACTTGGTTTCACTCTTTTCCAGGACAAATTTGTTTGTTCTCCTAGCAGTCCATGGTATATTCAATACTCTTCTCCAGCACCACAGCTCAAAGGCATCAATTTTTCTTCTATCATCCCTAGTCACTGTCCAGCTTTCTGATGAAAGCAAGTAATTGCAAAGACCATGGGCTGTATCAGGTGTACTTTAGTCTCCAGACTGATATCATTGCTCTTCAGTACTTCAGAGAGGTCTCAACAGCAGACTTTACCAATGCAATTTGTCCTTTCATTTTCTGGCTGCTGGTCCCAAAAGTGTTGTTTGTAGAGTCAAGCAAACGAAAGCTCTTAACAATCTCAATCTCTTCACCATCCATCATGATGCTGCCAACTGGCCCAGTGGTGAAAATCTTCGTTTTCTTGATGTTGAGCTTCAATCCATATTGAAGGCTACCACCCTTGACTTTCTGCAGCAAGTGCTTCAGGTCCTCCTCAGTTTCAGCAAACAATGTTGTGTCATCTGCATAACGCAGAGCCCAGCCTCCTAGATAATCTGTTCCTCAAATAGACTGAAAAGATATGGAGAAATGACATAGCCTTGGCGTACACCCTTCCCAATATTGAACCATTCAGTGTTTCCCTGCTCTGTTCTAATGACTGCCTCTTGGTCCTTACATTTATAAATATAAATGTATCACTATAAAAACATTAAAACAATGGTATAAAAAAGAAAAACTACAATTCTAATTCAATTTTATATAATATGAAAATCTGCCTCCCTATTGTTTAATAAAACCCAGCGAACTGAAATATAAAAGAAAAATAGGGCAAAATTTATTCTTGGAAATACATCACAATGAATACTTGGATAAATTATTCCAGTATACAATATCTAAAACTTACAGAAAATACATTCTTAACTATCTTCAAATGCATAAGTGAGTTTACAAGAAAGGGAAGTTATCAGAAACCTAATTATCGAGAACAAATTATGAAACTGACAGCTGTTTTGAGAAGAACTTCTACTTTGTGCTGACCTCGAGCACCTGGTTTTACAAACCATGTTTTAGGCTTGGAAACAAGATAGAAAGTGGTCAGGCTGAGTCAAGTTTAGGCCTCTATGTCAGGGCAGACCCTAGAAATAACAAAAATCATAAAGAAAGAAGTAACTTGGAAAGAAACCTACTACAAAAAGGTATAAATGGTAAGAAAAATGCTTATCGTGACTTGGCTATTGAATGCTTAGGTAAGTAAATACTGCTCGAGATAAAAGCCCCCCAACACCCCAAGCTGAGGTTTTAATTTAAAATGCTTCCAAATTACTAGTGTCTCTCTGGAGGAATTTATCATTAGCCCAGATATCAAAAAAACTCATGTAAATAAATCTCTAACAGTCATTAGTTCCCAAAGAACAATTACAAATTACCTGAATAAAGTAATATGAATGAAAATCAATAGAAATAGTTTAAAAATCCACTCATAGTCTTCAGAAAAAAAAACTCCTGTATGGCACCAAAAAACAAATATAAGAATAGTAGCATTGTTTATAATAGTAAAAACTGGAAACAACCCAAAAATCCATCTTTAGGAAAACTACAGAGCAATGAAAAGGAAAGAACTATAGCAACTCATTCTGATATGGATGACTTCAAGCATAAAATGTTGAATAAAGTTAAAGAATATATTATTTAATACAATTATTACTCCATTACTATAAACCTTCTAATAACATAGATTTAGGGTTCTTCAGTTGCCTAGCAGAAAGCAGCTGTGCTGCAATCCCAAAGGCACCAGTTGGAATCCACCAGATATCCCTCAGGAGAAGGATGGGCAATCTCCTCCTGCGTGATTATTGCCTCTGAAACCCACTGGAGGGTCAGCTATGGGTCCATTCTGACTTGACAGCAAATAACAACAATATAAACTTCAACAACATATAAACAATATATGGCTTAAAGATCTATTCATACTTGTAAGCTAAAAATAAAAGCAAAGGAGTGAGAAGCCAAATAAATATTCAGGTCATTGATTTCCTGCAACAAGGGCATGGACACACAGAGGCACAGAGAAGACTGACTCTGTCTTAAGTGGTAGAGTGGGCACTGTAGTGACTTATCTGTTGATAAGATAACAAACTATATGTACATATTTTTATATGTGGAAAAAAATATCTATTTTTCTATGGATGCAGATATAGTTTTATATTTACCAGGAGCCCCAGTAGTGCAATAGTTAAATGCCTGGCTGCTAACAGAACAGTTGGTAGTTCAAATGCACCAGCATAAGCAAGGCAGAAAGGATCTAACAATCTGCTCCTGCACAAACAGCCTCAGAAAGGCTGTGGGGCAGTTACACTCTGTCACAAGGGGTCAGAAGTGACTCAGCAAAGAGAACTCAATATATGGCCCAATATACTTACTTACTCTAAGGAGAAAGACTAGAAATTCAAAAACACCTTCTCCAAAGCATGTTTGTTCTCTAAACAAAGTCCATAATCTACCAGTAAATCTTAAATTATGCAAAAGGTTAAATGTATTCTTCTACCAACAAAAGGTTTAATTTTTTTAATATCTGCAAAAGTGGACTTTGATCTTTGAGTCTGCTTTTGGATTTTTTAAAATATTTTATTATGGGTTAGGTGAAAGCTGACAAAGCAATCTACCATTAAGCAATTTACATACAGATTGGTCCATGATCTTTGCAGCAAGCCCCGCAACTTGTCTATATTCTCTCCATTTCCCTCTTTGGTCTCCCGTTTCTGTTAGCACAATTTTCCAGCCTTCTTAATTTAGGTAAATGCTGTCCTTCCAGTCTTGTATAGTTGACTGCTCTGAGGAGGGTGTCCCTCTAGGCAAGACTGTTCACTTTATGGGCAGGTGTGCCTTTTATGTTTAAAAGGCAATCTCTGGGATTAGTTTCAGCTATAAGAAAGGTGGCTACCCACAGGCCATAGGATCTGGGGTTCCATCATTCTTTATCATGCGTCAAGTCTAGTCTCTTTTGTGAATCTTTTATCTTTTTTTTCTCTACCTGGTACCTTCTAATGTCATCTAGGTTTTAGCAGTAGTGCACGCAGGTCTCCAACTAGCTCTTCTGATCCCAGGTTGGTAGAGGCTGTAATTCATGTGGTCCATTCTGTTCTCTGTACTAATTATTTCCATGAGTCTCTGGGCTTTTTCATTCTTCTTTGCTCCATATGAAGAGATCAACAGTTGTAACTTAGATGGTTGCTCAACTTTTTAAGATCTCAGTTGTTATTGACCAAACAAAGTAGGATGCACCACATTATCTTTATGGACTTTGTTAAGCCAGGTAAACTACATGTTTTCCAAGGCTATGCTCCCTAGCCCTCACGCCCGGTATCTTTGTCTGGGAAGGTATTTATGTGACTTGAGAAATGTTCATCACTGTGCCTTGTGTTTTCAATAATATATATGGCAGACTTAGAGACAAACACATGCCCACCTCTACTGGCAGCTTACTGTCAAAATTGCAAGAATATAGCACTTCCTTTAAATTACAAAATAAATAGTCTCATGTTAGCCAATTTCATATGCATTTAAACACTAAGATAAAGGGTGATGGACACAGGTATGTTTTTAAACTAATGAAACATGTTTTGAACTTCCATAAATAAAGCTTCAGTACAATTACTTAAGTTAATCTTCTCATTTTCCTTCTTTCCTCTCCCACTAAATAACTCACAAAGGTATTTAACTATAAAGACCATTCATGTGAAGTTCTTTTTCACCTATTTACCCATATATGAGGTAAGTAGTATTTCTCATGCTTTTTTATTCTCATAGAGAAAAAAAAAACAACCACCATGTTCAGGGAGTTAAATTTTACAATTTTGACCTAATCTTTGTCTGTTTTGTAAACATGATGGCAAAATAAAATAATCTGAAACCCACCTTAAGAAGTTCAACAAGTCTGCATAATGCTTTAACAGAGGTTTTGGTCATTGGTTTTTGCATGGACATATAGAGATTCATTGTGGTTTTAATAATGGTACTAATACTATATGCATATAAGAAGCCCTGTTTGGAAAAAAAAGAAAGAACATACATTAAAACATTCATTGCAATCACAAGGAAAGATTTTGTTTCTTCAAGATTTCATTCTGTATGCAAAAATAAATATTCCTCAAGAGAACACTACTTAGTGTTTCTAAAGTTCATTTTAAAATGAGATCTTAAGAATCTGAAATAAATCTTGCTCACAGAGATAATGTTATATATGGTTGTTAAAGTTCAAAGCATCTCTTAAAAAAATTTTAATACCTGTATTGTACAATAAGTTCAGTACAGACAAAAGTATTGGACATAATCAAGATTTAAAGATGCTTCCCATTAAAAGCAAAACAAAACAAAATTTTTGATAAACAATTTAGAAGTAAAAAAGACATCTATTCATCCTAACATTCAAGGACAGGTAGGAAGACAGACTTCCATGTGCTTTACCTGAAGGCAAAAATAGCTAAGGATGTTAATAAGGTAGAGACGGAAAAGAGAAAGATAAAGACAGCTGCCCTCGAGCCACAACTGACAACCAGAAGGATTTCTGAGTCCAAGTCAATTCCTCCTTTCCTTCTCGCCAAGGCCAATCACACTGTCCATCGACTACCATTTCCCATGCTGACAAAGACACTACAATGTAAGGCCTGGCCAGCCACTGAACACTTTTCAGATCACACAGTCAGATCTTGTTATGTACACAGTAATGTGAGTCAGAGGTGACACAATGGTATCTAATAACAACCTTGTTTCTAATCAGGCATCAAGTTTTCTCTCTTTTTAGCTCAGTAAGGACAGATTTTCTCCCAATTTTCTATTCATAAAGGAAGCATACAGGCCTTGTGAAGTTTTATGAACTCTAGTGCTACCAAGCTCAAAGGAAAAATGGACAAAGAAGAGAGAGGGGGAAATATTATCTCTGAGGTAATTTTAAAGATTCTCTGGGCATCCAAAGAATTAAAATAAGACTCATGCATACTTTAAAGACAAAACAGAGTTCTACTAGTATAGGAGCTCTACTGGCCTAGTGGATAAGAAGTTCGGCTGCCAATCCAAAGGCAGGCAGTTCAAATCCACCAGTAGTTCCTAGGAAAAAAGATGGGCAACCTCCTATCGTGTGATTTACAACAGCCCCCTGGAGAGTCAGCTATGAACTGTTTCTGACTTGATGGCAATGTGTATGAATTCGAGTGCAGACATCGCCAAGATGCTGGGAAAGAAATCACTTCCTGTCAAAACTTCTTTCCTGCCACGGCCTATGTGTGAGATAACAGGCTCTCTTGTGGCACACTGGTTCAAGAGCTCAGCTGCCAGTGAAAATATTGGCAGTTAAACTCACTAACTGCTCTACAGCAGAAAGAGTTCAGAGTCTGCTTCCATTGGGATTGTCAGCCTTGGAAACCCTATGGGCAGTTCTAGTCTGTCCTTCTAGTGTTGCTGAGCCAGAAACAATTCAACAACAATGGTTCCGTTTTCTCATAAGTTAAGTGGCTCATGAAGGCGTGATACTGTGGGATAAGAGGTGAGAGTTTCTCTGAACTATTAATAGCTCAGAGGTGAAGAAATGTGCTAAATGAAGAGAGCTAAGAAAGAGAGAGAAGGAGAAGCATTCTAAGAAAGGTAATAAGAGTAAAGCATGGGGATGCAGACAGAGTCACACATCCTAGCCTGTCAGCTACAGAGCTGTTACACTACACTCTACCCAAGTGTAACTCTGGGTAACACTGGGTTCCAAACAAGGAACAGCAACTGTATATTCCAAATAGGAGGAAAAGGGAGAGGGGGCCTTTCTTGGAGGGAATACAGGGAGCAGTTAAAGTACAGACCACCCGGGTCCATACACCTGGCTCCAGACTACTGCATTCCCAGATGGCCATTAATCTGTAAAAGATGTGTATAACGGATGCACTTAAGGATCTCAATTGGGAAGAGGGTAGGATTTCACTAAAGGTGGAAAAAGCAACTTGAACCAACAGTTCCACTGAGAACTAGGAAATCTGGGCAAAATATTTTTAAGTCTTCTGGAAGGCATCAAAGGGTTAGAAAGGAAATTTGAAAAAACAAGGCCAAAATCTGGGAGAAGGCATAAATCCAGAGAACTAAGCCTAACATCAGGGACTGCTCTCCCACAGAGCCATTTGCTGATTGCAAAAGTAAAGAATGAAGACAGAAGTAAAATCCATCTTTCAACACTGTCTCACAGGACAGTGGACTAAAAATGGGTGTTCCTGGCCCATCAAGGATGAGGGGGGCAAAGAATCCTGGCAAACCGTCTAAATTTTGTATTAGGATCCTAAAGGACTGGCACCCCCAACTCAGAAGGGCTGAAGTCCAGCTTCAAATCATCTCAATCCGTGAACAGGCGGAGCAATTACCCTATACGAGCTGTGTGCCAGAAGAAAACAGATATCTTCTTAGAGGAAGGAAACTATCTATACACCCAATTATGTCTAACTTGAGCTAGATGACATAAAAAGGGAGGTTTCTGGTATAAATTTCTGGCAATCTAGAAATAATAAATCAGAGAAAAGAAATATGATATATCCAAAACTGAGACAAATGAAAGAAAACAGAAATATCCCAGAATATTGGAGGAGTGGGGGGAGGAGTACTTCAGAAGAAAACTAACTCAAAATGATAAAAAAAAATACACAAACTGGAAAGTTTTAAAATACAAGTAGCCCGTAACTGTGTTTGAGTTATGAAAAAACACATTTATAAGCATCATGGTTTTGTCATCTTATAAAATTAGTAATAAGGACTACATGAAATATTGTTTCATAAAACTGATAATATCACTTGTAGAAGTTTAATGTTATGATTTATAAATGGTAAAGTTTTCAGAATGGGACCCTGTCTTAAATTGGGACCACTTATAATCTAATTGAGAACTTAATACATGGATCTAACAGTAAATTGCACATAGCTGAAAACAGAATTGGAAAAAAGACAAAAAACCAAATAAAACAGTAGTTGGGAGATAAAGCTGACAATGCCCCCTAAGTTCAAGAAGCTCTACAATTCCACACAGCACAAACAGGAAGAAACTTGTAATAATAAAATTTGGTGTATCACAGTAATGTTGTTATAAAAAATATAAATCTATAAGCAACTGAATAAAGAGTTGCTAGTTTCAAAAACTAGTAAGACTGAAAACTAACTTTCCACTAAAACAAAAGAAGCCAGAAGACAGCACAGAGACACTCAGGTGTTGAAAGGACACTCTTAGATGTTGAAAGAAAAAATGCACTGTCAACCTAAAACTCTACACTTAGTAAAACTGCCTTCAAAAATGACATTTAGTGAGTATATATTCTGACAAAAACTGTGATGATTTTCACCAGAAAAGCACTTCCAAAGAAATACTAAAAGGACATTCCAAAAGCAAAGGATAAAAATTTATAGAAGCACAGGCAATATAGGTAATACAGAAATCTAAATGAACAATGCCTATTACATAGTAATAGTAATAATGTTTTGTGAAGTTCAAAATGTATCTAGGGTCAAAATATAAACAGCAGCACAAGAGGTGAGAAAGGGGAATAAATAGAATAAAACGTCCTAAGATCCTTACACTCTCCAGGAAGTGATAAAAATAATATTTATGTGAGATCTGGCTAAGTCTTAAGAAGTCTTAAAAGCTGCATCTTAAAATCCAAAAGAAACTATCAAAACAAATAATAAAGGAATACAGAACTAACAACACAACGGAGGAAAGAAGAAATAAATGAGTAACAATAATCCAAAAGGAAAAAAAAACCAATAATCCAAAAGGGTACTAGAAAGGGAAAAATTAAGAGAACATACGTATAGAACAGGTAAGACATAGGAAGCAATTAGTCATTTGGTAGTTTTAAATCCCAAGAGTATGTCAGTAAAGATTTACACAAAACACTAAAGAATCTGCATATGAAGCACATTAAAGACTGTGTCCTAATGCATGCTATAGGTAAGAAAAAGAAAAAAGGCATACACAGAAAGGAAATCAATGAAAAACAAAGATTATTAGACTTTGGGACAATATCTGGTGCTTACAGGAGACATAAATTAAACATGGACATAAAGCAAAGGAAAATCTCGGTATTGTTATGTTAATATCACACAAGAGAGCCCAAGCCAAAAACTTCAGAAAAGGAATACATACATATGTAAGGGACACTTCATAACAACAACAGGCTCACTAGGAAGAGAAAGCAATGCTAAATGTTCATATATACATAATGTTTATGTCGATAGGCAAGAAAGTAAAGACAAGGAGACAAAAATAGTGGGAGATTCTAAATCACCTGCTTCAGTAACTCTTAAGAGTAAGAAAATAAATGATTAATGAACATGACTTATGTGTGAGAGATATATCCCACTATATGTCTATCACTAAGGGAGCTTTGGTGGGCTACTGGTAAGGAGTTGCACTGTCAAACCAAAGGCAGGTGGTTTGAATCCACCAGCTACTCTGAGAGAGAAAGATGAGTAATCTTCTCCAATGCCATTCCGGTCTCTGAAAATCCACTGGAGGATCAGACAGGAGTTGGTTCCAACTCAATGGGACATAACAACACATAGCCACCAAATGCAAAACAGCACATGCTTTTCAAATACAAGGAAAAGTTTACCAAAAATGATCATAAGCTGAGTCTCAAAGCAACTTTCAACAAATTTCTGAACACTAAAATCCTTCATATAGAGGTAATAAAAAGATAACTAACAAAATGACTATGTGTTTGGGAATTTAAGAAAAACTTTTCAAAATAACCCATAGATGAAAGCAGAAATCACAATCTTTTTAATTAAAAGAGTGCAAAACACAACATATCAAAACTTACAGAATGCAGCTAAAAAGTCATGCTTAGAAGGAAATGTAAAGCTTTAAATACACATATTTTAAAAATCTAAATTAATAATTAATACTTTGATCCAAATAGAACCAATTATGTTTCTACTTAAGTTTCCATTTTAAAAAACAAAACAAATACTATTCATTACCAGTGTGTCCCAAACCTCTGTAACTTCTGTAAATGTGGTTAGCATAGAAAATAACCCCAAGGTATTTTAAGTAGTAAGATACAACTAACTACCTGTATAAAAATATTACATCTATTGGTGAGGTCTTCAGCAAATTTATCCATTCTCTGCTCTTTAGATAAAATAGATTCCATTTTCATCATCCATGAGCTCACAAAGACGTAGTAAGACTGTACATCTCTAACAAAGGAAAAGAGTGAGGTTACTCAGCACAGGAAATTGACTTTCATTTCTTTATATGATTAGAAGAGAATATGCCTCAATATCAGTTAGCTCACTTTCCTTATTTTTAGAATACTGTTATCAGACATAACTGTTATTACTGTCTAATACTGTTATTAGACATAAACAATTTACTTACTCAATAAATATTTACTGAGTGCCTCCACAAGCCAGGCACTTTTTCTTAGTACAAAAACAAAACAGGGAAATCAGCAGTAAATGAAAGAGACAAAAACCCTGCCCTCCTCAAGCTTCCATTCTAGAAAGGAGAGTTATGCAAAAATTAATTAAAATTCTTATGATGTCAAATAATAAACACTATAGGAAAATATAACAAAGCAAAGGGGAGGAAGGAGGAACAAAGTAGAAGGTAAAATGCTGAAACGAGTGGTCATGAAGGCTCACTGAAGAAGTGAAGGGGTAAACCAAGCAAACAGGCAAGAGAAGAGAACTCCAGAGAAGTGGATAATAAATGGAAATGCTCTAAGACAGGAAGTGTGTCTGGCATGTTCAGGTAATAACAAAGAAGTCAGTGCTGAAGTAGAGAGAGCAAGGATGAGAAGAGAAAAGAAAAGCGAGTGGAGGGCCAGGGGGGTGTACTTGGTGCCACACTTTGCAGGAAGCAAGGACTATTTAGATGAGAAAGTTAGAGGGTGAACTGAGATACAATCTAACTTTTGACTTTAAGAGTACCCATAACCCTCTGGCAATGTGTTAAAAACAAACTCTAAAGGAGACATGGACAAAGCAGGAAAACACTTATGATGCAGAAGAAAGAACGACAGGTTGAGCTAGAACAGGAGCAGCGGCAAAGGTCAGAATATAAACACAAAAACTAGTCTTTACTGAATACTTACTATGTATTCCAACACTTTACACAAAGTAACTGACTTAATCTTCACAATAATCTTATAAGGTAGTTCTGACATTCCTTTTATAGAAGCAATTTACACACAGATGCTTCATCATGTGCCCTAGAATACACTTCCCTGCTGCTGCTGCTGTTACTGTGTGCCATCAAGCTGACCCGGACGCAAGGGTACCCTATTAAGGCAGAGCCTAAGGACTTTCCAGTTTGTAACCCACTGAAAACAGCTTGACAGGGCAAAGGACTGGAAACATCCCTTCACAAGAGATTCCACCCTAAATTTCCATCTAGCCATCTCACTGGGCAATCTGACAATTTTAAGAACTCAGTGTGAAGAGAGATTACCCTAAAACCCTGTTTAATAAATATTTTGGGGAAGTGAACCATGGCATCAAATCTGGAGGGAGAGGAGAGAAGAAGTTTCCTGCAAAGCCAGAATGCTATTAGAAAAAAAGGCATCAATGTCCTTAAATATGCAGAAATATACCATTTTTTTTGTTGATTTTTTTTTTTCCTTTTTTCTTTCTTTAAAAAAAAAAAAAGTAAATAAATTAAATTTCCAACAATGTGGCTGGGCTGGAAAATGGAGTACAATAGCCAGGCCACTCTTTAAAAGTGTGTCTGGAGATGGGGTGGGGGTAAGGGAGCAGCAGTGAGCTATAAACAACGGCCAAGGAAATTATCAAAATAACTACAATCACAGGGGTGGAGAGGTCTGTGGGGCTATTGCTGACTGTGCCACCAGGGGCAGTGCCTATTCTACTTCAGCAGCAAAAGCCAGGGAGCAGCTCTTTGCTGTCAACCACAGTAGACTCACCCTTACTCTCTTCTGTCATTACCAAATTATGAAAAAATGTAGAAGAGCTCATCTGGAAATGTTTGGTATCCCAATCTGTACACCAGCAGGCACTGACACCTTAACAGTGAACAAGGACACTGATTGGTTCTTCTTCCCCTAAGGGAGATAGTAAGTGATGGCCAAGTACTATCTGGCCTATTTCTAGGGTTTTGGTTCCTTACCATATTCAAGATCTCCACTTCTCAGAGATGCCCCCCTAAACATTGCCTTGAGTCAACAGGCCTGCCTGCTTAGATTCTGTTTCTGAAGGAGGGGACTGAGTACAGATTTCCCACTCTGCGCATCCTCTGGAGGGGGAAGGGGTAACAGATCTTTGTGCTTTCTGAAAATATCTGGAACCAGATCCTAGGCAGGAAAACAGGGAGGTAAGGACCCTCCTAACCAGAATGAGCATTTACAGACATTTTAGGGGAAGAAATATGGCAGAAGGAGGGAATCTGAGTCTCCTACGTGCCCTAGGACCTTTCAGTGCCAGAGCAGGGAGAGCTACGCCATAGGCCACAGTGTTTGGAATGAGGACAGTGAGGGGGACACAGGGTCCAGCTGGTTGAGTGATAGGATTTTCTGGTTTCCATCTTGTCCTGATAGAATGTTTCAATTTCCTATATCTCTTCCACGCCATGAGCAAATCTCATCACAAGCCCTGGCTCCTGTACCATGTCATCACCCATGTGCTGGTTCTCGCAGGCCATCACAACAACAGCTTGCTTGCCAGGGATGCGCTTGGCCACGTAGTTCTCATAGTAGCGCCGGTTCATCTGTCTGGTCTCTAGTGTGGCCAGACCCAGTGGCCAGCTCCGCTCATGGGCATTTTCAATCAGCTCGTTGACAATAGAGGCAGGACAGCCACTCTCCACCAGGAAGCGCTTGATGACAACTTGTAGCACGGCATCTGGAGTTGAGATCACCCCTCCCCAATGGGTCACTCTTGCAGGTCACAGCGAGTTCACCCACTCTAGAATCTCCTTATATTCAATTGTCTCCTCCAGGTTCTGAAGGTTGGGGTTGACACTATGGATCGCTCGAATGTATGCCTTAAGCAGCTGGATGTCTCGTTTCTGCTCTGCCAGCTGGTGTTTGTGTTCAGCTAACGTCTTCTCCATCTCTCCGATACGTGTCTGCTGCTGCTGGACCACTGAGCGCAGGTGCTTAATGCAGTTGTGGTTTGGCAGCTCATTTTTGGGCATCTCCAGGCCACAGCCCTGTTCATAGGTCACAGGCCTCTTCGGGTTGTGCTCACAGTCACTAAGGTGAGACATGAGGTTGTCAAGCCAGATAACAGCACTGCAGCCAAATACAGCGTTGTCACAGGCAATCTGCAGCTTTGACAACAAGTTCCGCATGATTCGAGGTGGGCAACCGTCACAACACTACGGTCCACCGGACAAGTCTGCTGCTCAGAGAACCACTGGGTGATGCAGGCATTGCAGAAAGCATGCTCACAATGAGGTGCCTATACTGGCTCCTCCAAGACTCCACTGCAAATAGGGCAGATAAGGTCTTCATCAACATCCCCCTGGAAGCGGGTTACATTATACCTCATGTCTCATCACTGAAACCTAGGTCCTTCCAAGTGTTGGGGGTTAGGTTCCCTGTTCACAAGGCTCTAACCCCCTGATGCCTCCACTCAGTGTCACTCAGGAAATGCTCCCAGTAACCCATCTTGCTGGCTATTTTCCGAATGAGTCTTTCTTCCTAGTGACAAGCTCCATCACCAGGGGGATGGACATGATGTCACAATCAGGAGCACTCGCCTTGGAAGCAGTCTCCGTACCCCAACCCGGCTGGAACTGAGGCCCGCAGCGGCCGCGGGACAACCGAGGCGCGTCCCAGCCTCTCCCAGGAGGGGAAGAGGAGGGAAAGAGTAGAAAGAACGAAATATACCATTTGACTTATAAGGAATCCAACAGAAAAATCCAAAGACAAAAAAGGAGTGGGAGTCTGAGGACAATACGTCCCATCTGATCAGGACTCAGAAGGGACACATGTATAAGAAGGGAAGCAAATGGTGCAGGCAGGCAAGAACCAGAAGGATGAGGCTTAGGCCCTGGTGTTCTCCCTACTATCAACCACATATCTGTAACACGACGGAGATGGTTAGTACTTGGACATATACAGAGCATCTGCTTGGTTTTAGATGACACTTCATAAATAAAGCAGAAATCTGTCACTTCTACAAATCACTTTTACAGATGACCTACATGTCCTGTTAATATAAAAACAAAGCTATTTCAAGTTGGGAGGAAAAAAGTTAATTGACAGAGTCCAAAAATGGGCAACAATCCTGACCATTTGCCAGCTTCATTTTAAAGTATAAAAAGGAAAATAAAAAAATCTAAGCTTCTTAACCAGATACATATAAAGCACAGAACAGGGTCAACACCTATATGCCAAGGAGGGATCTGAAATGAAGATTCAAATTCCTACTCTCAAAGTCAAAATGGTAACAAAAGGCAAAATACAGCAACTCCCAAACCCTAGGCTCAAGCAAGTGGGTGTCTGGAGCAGGTGGCCTAAAAAGACATTAAAAAGATAACTGCTTTCTTCAATTTGGTAGAGCTCTCTAGCTCTGGCTAGACTACACAGCTTTGAGCTCAAAGAATTTGGAAACATAAAATTGTACTGTGTGAGGGTAGTGGAAAGTCAATCCTCCAATTCAATCTACAACCTAACAAGAACCACTGTCTACAGCACCTCTGACTAATGTTCATCTATAGCCCCCAGGCACAGCTCTGGTGAAGCGGCTCATGCGAACACACAGGGTAGTCTACATAACAACTGTCTGCTACAGGTCCCTAAAGCTGGACTGCTGTGGGTCGGCATCCCAATTCTGACATCTCCTTAACTGCGTGATCCTGCAAATTTCTTCATTTTCTACCAGAAAATGGCTTCCAAGAAACAAGTGGTATAGAATAGTAAGTAGTTACCAGCCTGGGTTCTATGGCTCTGTTATCTACAGACCGAGGCAAGTTTTAATTTTCCTTTACTTCAGTTTTCTCACCTGTAAATTTGTGATAACAACATTATCTGTCTAACAAAGACTTTCTAATGACTGAAGGAAAGAACACATGAAGTTCCTACAATAATTATTATAGTTTATAAAAGCTCCCACTGTAACATAACAACAGCTTTATTATTTCCCAGGTGAAGACTATTACAAGGTGGTTTATGTGAGATACACTCAAAGCTTTTAATAAAATAACCACTACATAGTTAAGAGCTTGGTAATATTGTCAATCACTGTTATTACTTACTACCTGACATCTTTGTCTTTTAGTTCTAGTTCAACCTTCTGGAGCTACAGAGATCAAATCTGCTTCTTTTCACCTAATGGCCCTTATAACTAAAAGAAAAACAAAACACACCAACCCACAAAACCCAAAAAGCCACTTTTCCATGTCTCAGATTTCTCTTTTAAAGGTCAAACTATCTACAGAGATTCTTTTTTTAATTAAAATTTTAATGAGTTTATAGACTTAGACTTTGGATTTCCATTCTTTCATTCTTGCACATTTTCCTCCCTGCCCACCCCTCTACCCAGTTGGCTTTTCTCTTTGAAAAGAAAAAAAAACAACAACCCTTCATTATTATACAATTCTTCCCCTCCACCATCATGCAAGCTCTCATTCTGGACTCTTATCATGAAAATAATATCTAATCATATATTCCTTTCAAACAATTCTCTCCCTCATCTGTTTCAACGCAGTTTACATTATTTAGCCCCTCTTTTCTTAGATTCCCCCCAACCCCAATGTCAGTCCTGATTTACAAGAGTGGCATTACGCAGTATTTGTTCCTTTGTGACAGAGATATTTCACTCAGCATGATGAAATTCTTCAATGATTCCTCAAAGGGCATGGGTTTCAGGCTCCTGACCTCTCCATATCACAAGTCCTCCTGAAATGTGTCACCAGCTACTATATGACAAGCAAAGAGTCAACAGAACTCTCAAGTCCTACAGCCTAGGTAAATTCCTTATTTCCCTAAGCTCAGTACTGCAGTTATTAACATAAACTAAGTATTAAGGCTGCTTTAGTAACCTAATTCATAGGATGTTGCACTGCTAACCCAAAGGTGTTACTTCCCTAGTGGTTTGAATCCCCCAGCCAATGGGGAAGAAAGATGGGCAACCTCCTTCTGGACAATTTTCAGCTTCCCAAAAACTCACTAGAGAGTCAGGTCTAAATTTCTTCCAACTCACTGGAAATGAACTGAGTTGAGCTGAAGTATATATTGGCATGTTTTGGAAATACTTCACACTGTTAAAAAATAGCAAGCTTTTCATAACAAAATACTTTAAACTACTGCTACTAAATATGAACATTGTCTCATTTTATAGTCTTGAATTTCTCTCTTATTATAAGTCCAAACATCTATATTTATTCCTCATCAGCTCTTGTCTTAGCATATATTAGAGGTCTCTGAGATCTCTGCCATTCGCAGTCTTGCCTGAATCGGGTTACATTTTTCTGCTGACTTTAATCACAGGACATGAGCATATTAACAGATGTTCACAGCAATTGCCTATATAGTTCACATACATCTTCCCCTGTTGGGAAACAACAGCCTGATTTCCTTTTGACAGGATCAAATGAAGTTAAGGCAATATCATGCCTTAAACCATACCACAGATAAAAACAATACAACCAGAAAAGGGCCAGTGGCAAACTCCCACTAAATCCCACATTCTGTTCAAAATGTTATTTTAGTAGTAAATCAAGAATGTGCATCAAGTTTAACTGTTGAACATAGGAACTAGGGGGCATGTGGGAAGGAGGTATCTTTACACTATTTTCTCTCTTTTTGACAATTTATGTAACAGGTAAACAAAAAATAGGGACATAAATATCAGAAGAAACAAAGAGTTAATACAAGTATTCTTCTGAGAAGCAGAACTTAACACATTGAGAGGAACTGGACATTTCCACTTCAAGCTTATAGTACTTCTTTGATCCTCTAAGTATGTGAAAATTTTACATTGGTAAAAATAAAACTAAAGGGAAACAGAAAAGAAGCGTATCAAGTAAAAGTCAATTTCTCCAAAAGCTGTCAAAGAGACATGTTTTTAATGTCATTAATTAAAAATCACATAAGATTTTATCAATTCACTTAGATAAAAACATAAATATAATACAACTGATAGAAAGTATCTGTGGTGTTAGCCTAGAAGTTGGGTTTTTTTTTGCCATTACAATTAGGCCCTCTGGTCTCCAACTACTTTAACTGCGGACACATGGTCTTGCAAATCATCAACAGGTGTGAAGCTAGGATAAGAGAAAGAGTGCTTCCCACACTGAGCAGCAAGACTTGAGGTAAGAAGGACTTATGGTGGCAAGACTTGAGGAAGACTGTGACATTGCTGTGGAGAAACTGTGGCAAGGTGTGACCTGAGGCTTCTTGCATTTTTGCTGGCCACAGTTAAAAGTTTGTCCTGTTCTTGCTGGATGTTTGAAGGAGAAGCTGACTTATAACTGCTTAAGACAAAGCTGCTAAATGATTTAGAGGTAAGTGCTGAATTGAAACCTGAGCCTGGAAGTACATTGGGACTTGGGCTAAAAGCTGTACTTGTTTTGGATGGTGTTCTTTGCCTTCTCCACTCTCCAACTTACTTGGCTAATAAACCTCATTCTCAGTACCACAACTGTGAATCTGAGAGTCAAGAACGAATTAAAAAACCTCTTGCTATTGGTGTGGCTCTAGAGGCACCACGGAGCTTGACTCCAGGCTCTTTATCTGCTTTCAGCTCTGGGGCAGTAAGGGACTGTGCTATTCTTACTCTCCCTCTGACCCTTTCAGAGAGACATGCATGGTCTTGTGCCTCAGTACCCCATCTTTACCTCTTTAGACAGTACTCAAATTATATATATATATACACACACATATATATATATCCTTAAAATATAATTGGTTACATCTTATATTGAGTTCAAACCTAAGCCTTACCATTAACCCCTCAAAAAAATAAATAAATGTTTTCCTGGAAAGCAAATCCCCATGAGACTGCTAAAACCTTTCTCTTTCTCTGATACGAGTTAAGAACAGGCAATCTTATAATGCAAATCCTTTACATATACTTAGCATCAGAAGTAGATTTGAAAAGATAAACTAGCTTAAAACTTTCATTATGATTGTTTATAAAACCTACTTGGTAAGTGACTGAGCTTTCTGCTGCAGGAAAGTATCCCTATGCATTTTAATGGCTTGAAGGCTTTTTCTGTCTAGAAGTTTGGCAGCTGCTGGTATTTTCTGGATCAGAAAATTATCAGGAAACCAAATAATATTAGCAGTTAGCGTGATGGCTGGAACCTGAATTTGTAAAGTTAAAGAAAAAGACCATTAAGTACAGGTTATACAGTAAGTTATTCTACATATATGGAACAAAATTAAAGCTAGGAAAAAGTAACTATAAAATACACTCAATTATATATTATGAGACAAATATCTTCTGTGGCACAAATTTAAAGCATTTTTACATCTCATGTTGAATATGACAGCTATTTTATTTCACTTAAGTATTAAACAAAAAACACACAAATTCATGAATTTCAGATTAAAAAATATGCAAAAGCAAATAAAAAACTTGTTTCTCATGGCTCTTGCTTTCATCCTATACTAATGAAAAAGTTTTAAATGCTCAATATAGCTGAATTCTTATGGTCACATATAACCTGACTGAATACACAAACTAAATTTTCCATTTTCAAATCAGGGGAACATCACAGAAACAAAGCTATTATAAAAAAACTGTTTTATGAATGGAAACCCAAAATCTCTGTAAATGTACATTAAAATTAATAAAATTTATTAAAAAAAGAAGATGGAAAAAAGTGAGAAAAAAAAACACCTGTTTTAAAATTTTTATGCTTAATAATTGGAGTAGGAGGGCAAAAGGATAAGAAAAAAGAAAAGTACTATTAATAGTAGATACAGAAAATTTACATTTAAAAAATACAGAAATATGTATTTATGGGAAGTAGAGCTATTAAGATTTTTTCCCCACTGGTTATATTACTTATCTCTGGAATGCCTAGATCTTTAAAATTAATATTATAACTTTTGTAAAATAGACATAAAATATATGTTAAAATACATTTTTTTTCATCCAAAGCATTTTTCAATCTATTACTCAGGTTGAAAATAAAATTCTTAGTTTCTTACCTTTTTACAAATGTCCAATAAAGACTTATAAAACTTTTTATCAACAGTTCGAAAAATGTGAAAGTGCAGCACAAAGAGTCCACAAATTCCAACATATTTGTCTCTTTGGTCAATTTCAGAAGGTTCTCCTAATAAAATCATCACATTAGAGAAAAGGAGAATAAGTATGAACACATCATGCTGTCAAAAAAATGCCAACTTCATATACGAAAACAAAAACAGTTTACTTTACCAAGTTTGGCTTCTACATTTGCAAAAATTGAGCGAATACTATGTGCAAATTCTTCAGCAAAAGTGCTATTTTTTGAGACAGATATTCCTCCATTTAAAGAATCAAACTGTTGCTCTATACAGGCCTATGCAGGAAAGAAAAAGAAATTCAGATTTTCAACAATAAGTTACTGTTGTTGCTTGCCTTGGAGTTGAGCACTACTCATAGAGACCCTATGGACAAAAGGCCTGAAGCCTCTCTACAACTATTGAGATTTATCAAAGTTCACAGTTTCCAGAGGCATGTTGTTTAGGAAATGGATGCCACCCCTGCTTCCAAAATAAATAAACAAATTTAAATACAGTAATAATTTTCTGCAATCATCATTTTAATGTTATTAAAGCTGAAACATGAAAGATTTTTATCCTAATCTGAAGCTCTGTCTCATATGTATGTGGCCAGGAGGGACCAGACCTTGGCGAGAAATATCGTGGGAGGGACAGTGCAGGAGAGGAAGGCTCAGGATGAGATGGACTGACTCAGTGACTGAGGTAATGGGTTTATGGGATTAAGCCTTTCAGAGACAATGAGATTGGCTCAAGATCGGACAAGATTAGGGGATACTGTGCATAGAATCACTATGAGTCCCAGGTGACTTGATGGCGCATAACAACAACACACAACAAGGTAATATTAAATTCTTTTCAAAGAATTCATCTTTAACAAAACGATTACATAAAATAAAAACCCAAGGTAAATTTGAAACAAATTTATAATGAAATACAATGTCATTTTGGTGGAAACAATCCAAAGCAGCAATGTTCAATGGTACTTGCTGTGATGATGGAAGTATTCTATATCTGTGCTGTGTAAATATGTCAGTCACAAACAACACACAGTTACTAAGTACTTGAAAGAAATGAGGATGCTGTGGCCAAAAAGTAAATTTCTCATTTCATTTAATTATGATTTAAATAGCTACATGTTGTTAGAAGGTGCTATACTAAAGTGTTCAGATTAAAAAATATTCCCTGAATCAACAAAGAATTAAATAATCTTAAAAGACAGCTTTACAAACTGCTTAAATAGCTCCAGAAATCCCTAAATATTTTTTATGGAAGGAGAAAAAACCCAAAACACTCAACTCTCATACAATTAGAACATTAATATTTTTATTTGCTGTTATGTACTTTACAATCCACTAGAAATGTTTTAAACCAAAGCACTTTTCAAAAATAAATCATATTCAAAGTATTCTATGCAAGAATTCCACTAAAATTCTGAGCAGGAATAACCAAAAAGCCCATTTTTTTAACTGTATACAACAGCTCTATTTACCTGGAATATCATTCCATCAAGCAATTGCCCTTCAAGCTTCAATAAAAATTTTTCAAATGGCTTTAGTTTTTCTTCCTGAATCCCAAATTTTGAAGGATTATGATGCACAGATTTCAGTAATCTTGTGAAAGAACAGAAAAAAATATTTTAAATGTACTTACTGAACTCTTAAATTAAAAATTTCTACTTTTCCAAAATTTTGTATTGACAATCCTTGTGTGGCTCTATACATTTGAAAACTGAGCAAAACCAATCCTGATGTATTTCATTTTTTTATGATACCTTTCTAAATCATCTTAAATTCAAAAACACAGGGCTCTATACATAATTGTTGTTGTTGTTGTTATGTGCCGTCGAGTCATTTGCGACTCATAGTGACCCCTATGTACAACCACCCTAAACTCTGCTCTGTCCTGTGCCAATCGTCTCCGATACACCCATCCCAATTACCCCAATCACTGAATCAATCCACCTCATAGGGGGCCTTCCCCTTCTGCGCTGTCCCTCCACCATACCAAGCATGATGTCCCTCTCCAAGGACGGGTCCCTCCTTACAACATGTCCAAAGTATGTTAGACAGAGCCTCAGAATCCTTGCCTCCAAGGAACCACCTGGTTTGATTTAATAATCTCATCTAAGCCAAATCTTTAATAAGCAAAGACACTAAACTCAGGGGAACACAAGAATAAAAAGCCCTAATCAAGATGCTAAAGGACTGGAAAATTTATTATACATAAATTGTGTTTTAAATATATACATATATGTACACACATACACACATATAGTTGCTATGAGCTAGAAGTAACTCAACAGCAAATAACAACAATAAAGGAATACTCTCAATAGAATATTCTTAAACATGCTCATTTAAAATTAAAGAGTGATTACTGTCTTCTTAAAAACATTTAATATGTTGCTACTGGGTGCTGCTGAGTAGAGTATGACTCATAGCAACCCTATGAACATCAGATCTGCCTATCTTTTGGCATCCTCATCATCTCTGTCACACTAGAGGCCCACTGTTATAGTCACTTTGTGAATCCATCTTTTTGAGAATCTTCCTCTCCTTCGCTAATTCTCCACTTTTCTCAGTATATTGTCTTTCTCCAAGATCCGGCCACTCTAAACAGTATCCCCCATATATGTGAGACAAAGAATCACTATCCTTTCCTCTAAAGAGCAACCTGTCATCACTATCTCCAAGACGTATTTATTTGTTCTTCTGGCAGTCCACTGGGTATTTAGTGCTCTTCTCCAGCATCACAACTCAAAGGCATTGATTCTTCTTTCATTGTCTTTATTCACTGTCCAACTCTTACATGCATAGCAAGTACTTGAAAAGATCATACCTGTTTTGCTAGTTATCCTTCTATTTTTACAATAATGGTCTTATGCAGCCTTTGTCCTTATGAGACAGAGTTAGTTCACTCAGTGTAATGCTCTCCAGTCCCTCCCAAGCAATGTAGTGATTTGAAAGTGTTGCTCTTATGCTTCCTAGATCATTCAAGACTTTCCCCATAGCAACCTTCAGTATTTCAACTCAAGGCTTGAATTTCAGTTCTTTCAGCTTGAGGAATGCTGAGTGATCCCTCTAAATACAGATCTATAGGTCATTTAAAAAATTTGCATTTATATTTACCTTTTACTAATATACCAACCACATGAAGAGACTATTTTTAAAAATGTAATTGACTCACCTTTTGTACATAGTCCAGTGATCTTTCAGTGTGATATGATTATCAATAATTTCATCCAGAGTGAGCAATACTGTCAGCAGTTCTCCCAAATGCTCATACATAGTCTGTCAAAAAACCTTTAATGATTATCATTCAATCACTAGTTAGAAGTTAAGCTTTGTGTGGACTTTAAAATAAAATAGACTTGATGAATATTAATAAAATTAGCTAAGCAGATGTTCAGTTTATTAAGATACAGGTTGGCTCCTCAGCTGGGACTATTAGCATCAGAAAAATGCTCTGCCCAATATCTCATCTTTGTGACCTTGGGTATTTGTTCATTGTCCAAAGAGAGTATTTGGAGAAGCTGTACTGAGCTACTTAAGTCAGAAAAACAAAGAACTACACTAATAGATGACAGAACAAATACTCTCTCCAAAAAAAATCACTTCAAAGTTTTATCATTGTAACTATTTTACCACCTAATTAAAACATAGGGATCTCTGGTAGCCTCGTGGTAAGCATGTGGTTCAAATCCATCAACTGCTCTGTGGGAGAAAGATGGGCAATCTCTTCTCATGAGATTTACTGCCTCTGAGAACACTGGAGGGTTAATTTATGGGTCAGTTCCAACTCAATGGTACATAACAGTAACAATAAAAACTTAATAAAATTTAAAACTTATAAACACAAACTCTAAATTAAAATATAAAAAAATGGTGTTTTATAAGTCAAATTTAATTTTTACCTGAAAATGAACTCCAGTTGTTTCTATAATTTTAGGTGCAATCCTGTAAAAAAATAACACCCATGTTAAAAAAAAAGTTTCCTTTTTATATCACAGTTCATTTTATCTCAAGAAATATACTTAGTAGTAGACACTCTTAGAATGTTAATGTTTTTTATCTTTATTAATAACTTAATCACTAACATTTAAGGGATCCAAGAAATTACTAGCATACTACACTTTTGCATGAAAGGAATTAACTTGTATATATTATGTCTGGAATATTCTTGCTTATAATGCATTTGTGGGTAGGGATATTACAGTATGTGGCAAATAAATTACTTTAATCATTTAAATATTGCGATGGAGGTATAAAATTAACAAAACTATCTTCCCAAACAATCAGAATTTCTCATCTCTCAAGTAGAATCTTTGGTATTGATCCCATCCAAATCTGAGAACTTCTTTGGTTAAGTTGACTTTTGGTTTCTACACGAAAAACAATACAAACTACTAAGTCTATAGTAAAATAAAAAGTCACAGCATAATCCTATTTTCTTCCCTACAAAATTTTCTGAGCAATAAATAAAGATAATAAATGTATAGCAAGAGACATGCATATATTTCGAAAGAGAAAAGAAATTTTTTACGTTAAACACAAAATCAAATGTCATCCTTCCAGGGAAGGGGAATGCTCTTAAAGTTACACACCAGGTACTGGGTATGGGGGCGGGGGTGGGGGGGGAGAAATAAGGAGGAACAGAGGTTAGGGACAACAAAGCTCTCACATTTTTCTGCCATGAGGGGAAATCTGGTCAAAGAACAGAACAAACACCTCACTTAAGGGAAAACCGCAGGAACCAGAAACAACTTGGTCTTCCAGTTCACAAACAAACGCAAGATGCAAAATGGTATAGCAAGAATGATGAATGGACCAGTGGCCTGAACCTTAGTTAGACTGCTATGGAATCTTGAGAAATCATTTCTCTGGGCCTCAGTCACCTCTTCTGATAATTGAGAATTCTTAGGTATGCATCTAATTAAAATCATTGAAGGATATAATTAAATTATAAATGTGGAACAACTGTTAAAGCATTAATCAAATAAATGTGAGATATTATTTGGGGGTAGTTAAAACAGCAAATCTTGATGGTATGCAAACTTGGATGATTATTAAAATTAATGAGGAATCTTTCAAAATGTAAAATTCCTTAGTTCTACTCAAAATTCTATATTTAAGAAAAGTGTGACTCAGTGAGTCAGGAACCATTATTTAAAGGAAACAGGAAAGTAATGAGAGGAGAGAACATGAAACACATACTAATTACATATGAACTTTTTCTATACAATCAAATCTTTTTAAAAATTAGTTTCTCAATATTCTCAGATAGTTAATGAGGTGATGCAATATTGTCGGGACCATGTCCTACTAGGGAGCACTGGTGGCCTAGTGGCAAAAAGATGTCTTATATACATACACAGTACATACCACTAGGTAGTATTTAAAAAGTATTGAAAGAGTGTTGAAAGGTGAATGAATAAATGAGTGAGTGAGTGGAAAAATGAACAAAAACTATTTCAAGTAAAGTTAACTGGTTTCAGAAAAACAATTCCTGCATCTCTGTCATACAAGTAAAAAGATTTCTAAATTCCATTACTTGTTACTGATATAGAGGGCAGCCAACTGATGGACTACATTCATCACCACTTCATAGCACCTCGTAACAAAACAAGACAGTTCCTGCAATGACAAGTTGAGCATATGTTACAACATTGCTTTTCAAATGTCACTATTTCTCACTAAATTTTATGGCAACAACTCTAAATAAAATGATTTTCCAGTAAAATCTCTTGTTAACAGCACCCAGACAGCTTCAAACATTCCTCAGGCAGTCAATACTTAAAACTTACCTCCTACATCCCAAAGTCATTTCTATCTCTTTACCTCCATGGCATTTCATTCATTCTCTATTATGGACATTTTATTTTACTTGCAACAGCACATCTAAATGATCAGGATAGTCTCCTTCCTTCTTCAAATATCCACTGCTTAACTTGTGGATAACACACAATTGCTTCTGAATAAATAAATAAATAAATGACCTAAATGAATAAATGAATGAACCTTTGAATGGATGAAGAAAAGATGTCAACTTAAAAATATGATGATGAGGGGTAAAGATTTCCAGAAGTCACTCTGGAAAATAATTTCAAATGTTTACTATCTTTAATCTTACCCATAAATAGGCTTGGTATGGACTAAGTGAAATATCAACCATCATTCTCAACAAAAAATATTCATTGTTCATCTGCAAAGCTGCAGACCTTCTAAAAATTTCTATAAAATTCTCATTTCTTCCTAGGGCTGGTAAGCTCAGTTCAAATCAGTGGTTTTATTTTAAATATTTATAAAGTCTCTTTCATTATATGTTGCTCGACAGTCATCAGGGGGCACTACAGTTAAGAATGCTGCCAAGAGCTCTGAGAAATCGGCAATTCTAAACCACCAGCTACTCCACAGGAGAAGAAGGCAGAGTCTCCTCCTCTAAAGATTTCAAGCTTACTGCCCTCAGCTTAGTGAGGAGCAGGCTGGTGGAATCAAACTGGTGACCTCTGAGCTCACAGAACAACTCTTAAGGTACTACAAGAAGAACTCCACTCTATAAAGACTTACATCTAATAAACGCTATACTTAGTTCTACCATGTCCTATAAGGATCATTTTGAGTCAGAATTAACTTAATGGCAACTTACTTGGTTTGGTTACCGCTCAAAAGCATCCAAACTGGGGGGAAAAAACCAGCCCAGTTGCCTTCACATCAATTCCAACTACTGCAAATCCACATGTGTCAGGACAGAAATGTGCTACACAGGGTTCTCAACGGTTGAATTATTTGGAAATAGATTGGCAGACCTTTCTTCCAAGGCATCTTTTGAGAGGTTCAAACCCTGGGTTAACAGCCCATCACATTAACCACCTACATCACCTAAGGGACTCGAGCCACAACATAATTACATATGATTATCAACCTACTTATATACACTTGTAAAATGGAACAATTCATATCTGAGATCTGACCATAACATAAAAACATCACTACAATATGCAAACTATTCAAAGGGAAATGAATGGATTTTGACAATAACATTTATTAACTAATATATACTCCTCTTGACATTTGACCTAGGTGATAAGGATTGTTGTTTATTACTACATAGAAGGGGAAACTTGTCTTTTCTGGGAAGGTACAAGCAATTTTAATATTTAAGATGTTTTCCAATTCATGATTTTTTTTAAAAAAAGCTCAAAAACTTCCCAGGGGTCTCATGAGAAGACTGCTTATTCTGTCATATATGGCTGAACATTTGTCAATCGAAATCATCTAAATTTTTAACATATGCTCCTACCAACAAGCTATATCACAGAGCTAAATTTATATTATAGTGAATATAAACATTTTATTACAGTGAATAAAAACACTTAAAGCTACCTCTAACTGGGATATAAGAGGATCCAGCCAGCTTACTGTTAGGAGTAGTAATACTTTTCTTATGTAAGTATGAATACTTAATTAAAATTAACTGAGTCTATTTTTCTGTTTTGAAAAGGAATCAAAGACAGATCCCACTTATATAAAACAAGCAAAGTCTTAGTAGTGATCACTAGATGAGGAGGAAAGGAGAAAAAATAAGCATGGGTTCGGGTACCCTGAACGTCTAGCAGAGGGGAGATTAGTCATGCTTGTGCAACACAGGAAACAGAATATTATCAGGGGGGAGAAGACATAAAAAATGTTAACATGGCAAATTTTTGGTTATACATATGGCTCACCACAGCTAGGGAGGAAAAAAGTACTAAATCAGAACCAAAAACTAAATCTGAACCAAATGTCAATATTCTTTACTAAGCAAAAGCAGTCATTTAAAGTAACATATTTGATACTGTGGCACAATGTGAAATCTAACTTAAAATGAGAAGGGCTCATTGTAGATACTTCAATAGTAAACCAAATTGTGCAATGCTAAGATTTTGGGCAGTAAAATAAATCCCACCATTTGCAGAGTATACTTTGAACTCTTCTAAAGACCAAAAATAACAATACGACTTTGTTTCAAAGACAATAAATACCTGCAAGGCAAAACTACCATAAACCCAGAAACAAAATCAAATGACAAAAGACAAACTGGAGAGAAAAAAACTGCAACTCTAACAAAAAGATTCTTTCCTGAATGTATAAAGAATTTCTGGACATCAGTCAGATCAATAATATAACCAGTAACTGTTGAAAGAATATAAACAGTTATAAAAACTACCAATTATTAAATTATTAATGACCTTAAATATATTAAATAGTGCTTAACTTCACTGTCAAGAGAAATCAAATTTTTTAAATCATTAAGAGTGACATATTAACATTAATTTTTTAAGTCATAGAATAGTATAAAATACATTTTTCTAAAAATAAAAAAAACCCAAAACTAAATATTTAGCAATTAAATGTATATATAAGAAATAAGCAATTCTGAAAAAGTCAAAAGGGAATGTACTTCAAAAGGGTACATGAGCTGATGTAATAATATCCTTAACGTTCTGGACCTTTAGTCAGGTGGCAAGTCTGTGGTTATTCATTTCACTAAGTTTCATAATTTATATGCCACATACTAAATTGTGGCTGACTCTGAGAAGAATGGGAATCCGAGAACATTTAATCGTGCTAACGCGAAACCTATACTTGGACCAAGAGGCAGTCGTCAGAACAGAATAGTGTAAAAATTGGGAAGGGTGTATGCCAGGGATGTGTCCTATCTCCATACCTTTTCAACATGTATGCAGAGCAGATGATCCAAGAGGCTGGGCTCTATGAGGAGAATTGTGGCATCAGGATTGGTGGAAGATCTATTAACAATCTGCGTTATGCAGATGACACAACCCTGCTTGCTGAAACTGAGGAGGACCTCATGCACTTGCTGCAGAGGGTCAAGGACTGCAGCCTTCAGTATGGACTGAGGCTCAATGTCAAGATTCTCACACCTGGACCCATTGGCAGCATCAGGATGGATGGCAAAGAGATTGAGATTGTTCACAGCTTCAGTTTGCTCGGCTCCACGGTCAACACTCTTGGCACCAGCAGACAGGAAATCAAAAAACGTATTGGGATGGGAAAGTCTGCTGTTAGGGACCTCTCTAAAGTACTCAAGAGCAATGGTGTGTCTCTGGAGACTAAGGTGCGTCTGATACAGGCTATGGTCTTTGCAATCAATTGTTATGCATCAGAGAGTTGGACAATGACTAGGGAGGACAGAAGGAGAATTGATGCCTTTGAGCTGTGGTGCTGGAGAAGAGTATTGAATGTACCATGGACTGCCAAGAAAACAAACAGATTCATCCTGGAGAGGGTTAAACCGGGCTACTCCTTGGAAGCAAGAATTCTGAGGCTTTGTCTGACATATTCTGGACATGCTGTAAGGAGGGACAGGTCCTTAGAGAGGGACATCATGCTTGGGAGGGTGGAGGGACGGCGCAGGAGGGGAAGACCCTCTATGAGGTGTATTGATTCAGTGACTGGGGCAATCGGGATGGGTGTGTCAGAGACAATGTGATTGGCACAGGATAGAGCAGGGTTTAGGGCTGTTGTACATAGGGTCGCTATGAGTCACAAATGACTGGATGGCACGTAACAACAACAACATTAGTAAACAATAGTGTACACAGTGTGCTGCCCTATCACTTTTGTAAGTCTAAATGACACCAACCTCAAGCACATTATCTCTGAAAAAGATAATTTTCCTTATCTCTAATTTTTCTTTCTTCATTTGTAAACTCATTGCTTTTGTAATAAGGAGAGAGTTATTTCATTCTCTTAATAAATCTCAATTGAAATGTCTGCTAAGAAGCATCAAGTAGTGCAGTTTTTAACAACTTTGTGTAGCAGCCTATATCCATTGAGAGCCTTTCTTGACACAGATTTCTTTTCCCCTGATAAAAACTATTTTAAAAGGCATCCTGACAATTTGTCCACAAACGAAGTTATATAAAAAACTTTATTTCGATACCTGTTTCTCTAAAAATGCTACAGAAATCTTTTAGGAGTTACTAAGCTCCTAAACTATAACCCAGTGTGGTCTAAGTATCTCACAAGCAAGTACAAATCTCAGCAGTTGGAGGTTTCAGACGTCTAGAGAGCACTGGTGGATACAATCCTGAAGGCTTCAGAAGTCTCTTTTGATTATTTGTAAAGAACTTAAAAGTTGTCTCCAAAAAGGCTTAACACTAAGTAAGCACAGTTACCTGTAAGAATGAAACAAATCTCCCCATCTGAATTTGGCAGTCTCCTTCTACCATGCTGGAATCGGTGGCTTTAAAAGACATAGGAATTACATTTCAGTGTTTCAAATGAAACTCAATTTATGCCAAAGGGTACTATAAAACACAGAATTTTGATACTGACAATATGACAAACATCAATTATACAATCAGAAATATATAAGTAAAATGTAACTATTTCATAAGTTCAATGAAAATTCTTCTATAGTAATTTGTAACATTACAAAAAAATACCAAATTTACCACTGCTTCATCTTTTAGGTTTTCAATTTCTGTGTGGCAAGCCAATAAAAAATTCTCCATGCACATTTTCTAATATTCAGACAATAACAGATAATTAAAGTAGTTCTAGGATTATCCATTAACACTGTTCATTTCAATCCCAAAAAAAGTATCATCACCACATCACAATTTTTTTTTTTCACATCACAATTTTTAAATTTTAAAACTTACCTCCTTCTCCATAAAACAAAAGACCATTATAAAATTTTGTTTCAGCCTGATTTTAAAAAAGAAAAAGAAAAGATCTTTACTTATTTTGTGACTAAGTTCTTAGGCTTTTTCATTTATCTATGTAATATTAACAAAGGACTATATTATCTATATACAAATTCACTTAAGTTAAAAAAATCATTCTATAATACAAATAAATTCAATTTATTTTTAATGTATCAGAAGCACTATTAATACCCAATAAAAGGAAGCTGTGGTATGTAATGAATAATGAATTGTGCTACCAATCCAAAGGCAGGAGGTTCAAGTCCACCAGCTGCTCTGCAGGAGAAGGACGGGCAGTCTCCTCTGCGACTGTCAGGCTCTGAAAAACCACTAGAGCATCAGCTATGAGTCAGGTTTGACTCAACAGCAACGAGAGAGAATGACTCAAAAAGTTTGTCGTCTTTTTTTTTAAAGTCTTCCAGCCATTCTGCCTCCTATCTTTTCATTAGATATGAGAGATAGGGTATAAACACATAGTATTAAAAAGCACTAGAAAGCAAAGACAATTTACTAACTTCTACCAGAGTTTTAATGACTCATAAGTAGTTTTTTAAAAAAACAAACAATAAATATATAATAAAGATTTAAAGTTTCATGGGGTTTTTTTAGTTATATTGTCATTGTTGATTGCCTTTGAGTCGAGCACGTCGCATGGTGACTCTGTGAACAAAAGGCCTGAAGCCCCTCTACAACTATTGGCATTTATCAACGTTCATAATGTTCCCAGAGGCATGTTGTTTAGGAAGTGGTTGCCACTCCTGCTTCCAAACTTGTTATAGTATGCTACTGTTGTTATGTGCCATTGAGTTGCCTGCGATATACAGTGACCCTATCATCTAGAAAAAAAATATGTGGTTAATACACAGACTTTGGAGGTACAGATTAGGTTCTAATTGCCACAAGTGGTAAAGTGTTGTTACAAGCGACCATCCCTAAGCTTCAGTTTCTCATCTATTTCTCACCTACTCCTTCAACCTGGAAAATAAAGGTTGATGAACAGTGTTAGCAAGGTATTTGGCACTTAGCAAGTACTCAATGAATAGCAGGCATTGATCTTGCCATTGCTTTAAGTATATAATTAACTCAATACTCAGTAAACATTTTATTACCTGTAAATATGTGGGCACATATTTTATTTCTTATCATTGTTTTTAAAGTCTTAAAACAATAGAAATAATTACCTCATACTTTAATTTCTTGATTTCACAACAAAGTGCAGCATATACAGTGATAACTTTGTTTAAGACCTAGGTTCATTAAACACACAAAAGAGAAAAAAGGAAATTATAACAAGTAACTCTTTTAGAAAAACATGTTTTAAATATTTTTACATTTAGGAATTTGTACCTTGTTTTCAGTCTTTATGAGTTCCAAAAGGGAAGACTGTTCATAAGGCAGAAGCTATAAAAACAAAGAAAAAGAGCATTTCTTTTTGCCTTGACAATACCTTGAATTTTAAATACTAAACTGAAACTACCTTATTCTTATTTAACCAGTGTGAGACTCTATACTGAGCACCCATAACCAAACCAAGTGTTCTCTTTAAGACAAACTCACTGGTCAGTATAGTAAAGAGTGTAAATAACCTCAAGACGCCTAGTTGTCTTCTAAGCCTTTAGCCAGCAGATGCAGAGCACGAGATAAGAAAATGCAAAGCAATACTAATGTTAAGAGGCTAACTCTGAACATGGAAAAAGACCTCTCATTATTTTGGAATTTGCCCTGCAGACTTAAGTGTAATAAGATTTGTTACTAAATGGGTCAAAATAAAATATTCTCAAAAAAAAGAATAAGACAGAAAAGAAATAGCCTTAGTGCTTCTGGTAGAAGTCTAAGGCTCACAAACATTTAAAACACAGTGTGCAGTTCACTTATCTTCGAAGTCCAGCTCAATTTCCATCTCCTCCATAAAGTCTTACTGGTCATTATCTACAAGTGATGTCTTTATTAAGGGTAAATTTAGATCTCTCTCTTGGCATTGACTATATACAAACAAATAATTCTGTAAGTAAACACACCTTTTCTCATTCAGTTATAGGGAGCTCTGATGGCCTAGTGACAAGCTGTGCCAAAATCCTGAAGGCACACTGGTCGAGGTCACTAGATGCTCCGTGGGAGAAGGATGGGCAATCTGCTCTTGTGCAATTAACTTCCTGAGAAAATCCACTGGAAGGTCGGCTATGGGTCAGTTATCAATTTTAAGGAGATTTTGTATGTGGTTGTGAATTTTTCCTGGTACAAAGCAAGGTAGCTTGTGTAGTTGTTGTTGTGTGCTATCTAGTCAACTATGACTCATACAGACCCTATGAATAATGGATCTGAACCTTGTCCTATACTGTGCCTCCTGATCATCCCTGATATACCTGACCCTGCTGTTACAACCACGCGCCAATAAATCTTGTTGAGGGTCTTACACTGACTCGCCCTCTTTCCAAACATTCTGTCTTTTTCCAAGGATTGGTGCCTCCTGTGAGATGAAGCTTCATCATTCTTGCCTCTAAGGAGCACCTTGGTTGCACATTATGGATTATTTTTTAATTTTTTTACATTATTTTTTAATTGGTTTGCTTAAAAACTATATACATTGTGTTTCACACCATTATTCGTTCACAGTGTTTCATACAATCATTCTCATGCCTTATGTTTTATAAAATTAATCACCGTTGGACCTTGCCCATCATTACCTTGTCTTTTCGCCTGGATCCTTCCCATTTGCTTTCCCACCATCACCAAACTGTGCAGCCCCGTGGTTTCACCACTACCTATCTTCACCTATCTGCTCCCCTCCCCACCTTGAGTTCCTGTACATGTTTTACTAGTTATCCTTCTATTTTTACAATAATAGTCTTATGTAGTATTTGTCTTCATAAGATGGTGTTAGTTCACTCAGCATAATTCTCTCTAACCTCTCTCAAGGTGCATGGTATTTTTCAAAGTTGTTGCTTCTGAGTGCTGTATAATATTCCATTTTGTGTGAATGTACCATCTCAAACCATTCACTTGTGATTGGGCATCTGGGCTGTTTCCACATTCTTGCAATGGTACCAAAAAGATTCCATTTATTGTCATAAAGCAGAAATCAACTCATAGCTTAGCCTGCAACAGGCTTTCAGAGGTTATAAACTGCATGGGAGGAGACTGTCCATTTTTCTCCAGTGAAGCAGCCAGTGGATTCAAACTGCCTGTCTTTGGGTTAGTAGCACAACTCTTTATCCAGTAGACTACCAGAGCTCCCTAACATGTGTTGGAATTCTAACCTCTACCGATGTGGACTTTTCAATCACTTTCTATGCATGTGAGATGGGACAGTAAATATGTATGACAGAAGAAATGATGTAGTTGAGCTATGGCACCTAACACCAAATAGATATGGACATAATACTATCTGGAAATAGAATTTCATTATGCTAATGAGGTCATTCAACCATTTGCTATGCATCTGAGAGCTTCACAGTGAAAAAGGATGACAGAAGAAGAACTGGTGCCTTTGAGCTGTGACGTTGGAACAGTACTAAATATCCCATGGACTGCAAAAAAACCAAACAGATATAGATATAGATCTTGGAGAAGGTACAGTGCAGCCAGCCTGCTCCTTGGAGGCAAAGATGACAAAGTTTGGTCTCATATCTTATGGGCATGTTGTTAGGAAATGCCAATTCTTGGAGAAAGACATCATGCTTGGAAAGGTGGAGGTTCAGCTTAAAAGAGGAAGACCCTCAAAGAGATGGACTGACACAGTGACAGCTGCAACAGGCTGAAATATGTCAGAAATTATGAGGATGGCACCAGACAGGCCAGGGTTCAGATCTATTGTTCACAGGGTCTCTGTAAGTTGTACTTAACTCAATGGCATCTAACAATAACAGCAATGAGATCATGTCCACATATGGTACATCCTATATCTAATCCCTTGAATTTTATGGAACACAACAGACACAGAGATAAGCAGAATAAATACAGCCAAGAAGCTATGAGGTTCAGACACTCAAAAAGACAGAAACTTTGCCCAAAATTGACAAAAGGAAGAAGCTCTCCCCCAGAGATGATGCTCTGGGTTCAAACTTTTACTCTCTAACTGTTAGAAAACACATTTCTCTCTTTTACAGCCAACCATTTCGGTATTTCTATTAGACCAGCACTAGAAAACTAAGACCAGCAGAAATACAGTAAATGCACAATAAAAAACCTAAGGAAAAGCTTCCAAAGAACGAAACAGCAGAAGTAAATCAGAGTGTTTCCACAAGAAGAAAAATTTTAAATATTTATAATTCTTCTGTTGGGTAAGATAAAAACTAAGACAGGACTTTACCCTTTTATAAAATCTGAGAGTTATTAGGAGCACAGATTTTTATTCTAATTCTAAAAGGTCCTTAAAGCCCCAAAACAACTTTTAGAAAAAGAAAGCTAATTCCTTAATGGTAAGTACACAAAACAGAGAACTTGCAGAAACTGTACAGATCAAAAATGTGGAGGTCCTTTAATTTATTTATAAAGTTTCTAAAAAAAGAATTAGAGAAAAAACAGTGGCAATGACAAATCTGAGGGAAAGCTTTTCAAAGGCTGCCTGCAAAAGAAAGGAACGAGAGGAAGTGACTTCAGTTTTCAAATAAATAAATCATTAGAGAAGCGATTTAGAGACACAAAGTGCTGTAGGCTCCAAAGCCTAGCTGCCTGGTATGGACCCCTGGCCATGGCACTTAGACCAGACATGCAAATTTCTTGAACACGTTTCCACTCTAAGTCTTCATTTCCTCATTTATAAAAAGGAGATGATACTGTAACTGTTTTACAAGGTTGTTGGGAGACTTAAAAAATATAAGTACATGTCCCATAAACCAATACAAAAAAGACAAATAACCCAGTATTAAAATGGCAAATAATCTGGTCAGACAATTCTCCAAAGATTCATAAATGCCATAAATACATGAAGAGATGCTTAACAACACTAACCAACAGAAAAACACACAAAAAAAACCCATAACACCACTTCACACCATTAGAATGCCTATAGTTAAAAACAAAAGAGTATGTTACCAAGGAATGTGGTTCCAAGGAAATGGAGAAACTAGAACATTTACATTCTGCTGGTAGAACACAAAATGGTGCAACTGCTTTGGAAAACAGTCCACCAGTTCTCAAAGACATAAACACAGAGATACCACGTGGTACAACAATTCCATTACTACATACTCAAAAGAAATGAAAATATACATTCTACACTAACTTGTACACCAATGTTCACAGCAGCATGTTCATAATACCCAAAAAGGTGAAAGAATACAAATGCCTTAAACAGTAAATATGTTCTATCCACATAAGAAATCTTATTCAACAATAAAAAAAAATTAAGTATTCATACATGCTACAAAAATTGATAAGCCTTAAAAACATTATGCTAAGTGGAAGAATCCACATATTATTCAAGGATCACACAGCATAAATGAGAGGACATTGTAACATTCTATCTGCATGAAATTCCAGAAGAGGCAAATCCACAGACAGAAAGAAGACTGACTGGTGGCTGACTGCCTTGGGGTTGGAATGGAAAGGAAAGATAAGGAAGGACTACTAATCAGTACAGGATTTCTTCCTGATCTGATTAAATATTCTAAATTTTATTTTTTTGATGGCTGCACATACTGTGAATATGCAAAAAACCTTAAAATTGTACACTTAACCACACTGCATGTGAACAATAAAAATGATTTATGATTTTTTAAAAATCACAAAAAAATCATAAAATCATAAAAACTTTTTAAAAGTATCTGTTACATAAGCATTATTTTTTTTTAAAATAATGAGCTATTGTATTACCTCAAAATAGAACAAAGCAAGAGTGATTTACTTTATACAATAAAAAGAAATCATTCTCATTTTACAGTCCCCTAAAAAACCTGGGGGAACTTCCTAAAAATAATATTCTATGAACATTTGGCACATTCATTAAACAGTAAATTTGAGGGGAGCTCTGGTGGCCTGGTGGCAAGAAGCTGCACTGCAATCCCAGAGGAACACGGTTCAAATCCACCAGATGCTCTGCCGGAGAAGGAGGCACAATCTCCTCCTGTACCAGTCAGATCTGATTTGACAGTACACGCACACAAAATAAAAAAAAAAACAGTAAATTTGAAATCTGTGCATTTCACTGTATATACAATAATCTTAAAAATAATTTTTAAAAGCCTGAATATGGTACTCCAACCTTCATTTTCTTGATGATGAAAAACAAAAGCTCCTTCAAGTCCATCTCATTTGACTACACTAAAAGATAAAGGCAGTGAAGTTTTGTAAATTTTTAACACAACAGCTTTCCCAGCCGACTTGGGGGGGGGTGGATTTAATATTTTTCCGAGTTTCTTCTTGCTCTCTAAATTACTAAATAACAAAAATATCTTTTTGTACTTAAAAGCTTCCAGATATAATGTGTCCTAAAAATACATCCGTAAGTAATAATAAATAAATAAAAGGAAACCTTTAATGCTATCGGATCAAGATTGAAATCCCAAACATCTCCAATTGAGTCATCCAAGGCATCCTCAATTCTTCTCAGCTGAGACGTATATTCCTCAAGAAATTTCCCATAATTCTTCAGCTGGACTTCTGCATGAATCTCTAAATTTAAATTTGAAAAGAGTATAAGTAATGATTTACAAGAATCTCAAAAACCACAGCAAAGTAGATATAAATAACTTAAATTTTATCACCTTAGAGTATCTAGATTTATTGAAAAGAAAGCAGGAGAGACACGAGCATCTTCTCCTGGGTAATTTACAGCTTCTGAAAACCTACTAGACAGAGAGGATCAGCTATGGGTCATTTGCAAATCAACAGCAATGAGTTGAGATTTTGAGTCAGAAAAGCTAGCATACTGGCTACGTACAGAATATTGCCAAAATTCCTAAGCTACTTACCTAACAGATGCCTCTAAAATCACCAGAATAAATTGGAAAATAAATGGTACCTCCACAAACCTCTGGCAGCATAGTGAGCTGTGAACTGTGCTGCCAACCTAAAAGTAGGCAGTTTGAATTCTCCTCGGGAGAAAGATAAGCAATTTTATCCCTTAAAGATTTATAGCTTCAGAAACCCAATGGAGGGTCACTATGAGTTACCACAGCAGTGGTTTTGTTATCCATCAAAACAGACAAGAGTAAACAATACATCAATACATGTATTCATTACTAATTTCCAAAGACAAAAAAAAAAAGACAAAAAAAACCCCAAAAACCAAACCCGCCTTTTTTTAAATGAATGTGATCATCGCATTGATTCTAGTCTTGGCTTAGTGGGTAATGAGTTCCGCTGTCAACCCTAAGGCAGGGAGTTCGAATCCACCAGTGGCTCTGGGGGAGGAAGATAGGCAATTTCCTCCTATGCAATCAACATCCTCTAAAAATACACCTGGAGGGTCAGCTATGAGTCAGTTCCAAAAACAATGCATCTGAATTTTTTTTAAAGTCTTACAGAAAAAGAAAAATTTTTCTTTCTATAATTATCAACTTTTATACAAGAAAGTGTGTGCTGACTCAGAATGTATTGTTGCTGTTATTGTTATGTGCCATTGAGTCGCTTGCAACTCATAGCGACCCTATGTACAAGAACTCTATACGCTCTTCTATCCTGTGCCAACATAGCCATCTCAAACGCACTTATTCCCACCGCTCCAGTCAGAGAATCGATCCATTTCATCAAAGGTCTTCCTCTCTTTCGCCGCCCCTCCATTCTGCAAAACATAATGTCCCTCTCCAAGGACCAGTCC